AAATGTTTGGTCTTTGTAGCGCAAAAAATATAAACCACAGAGGTGATCAAATACCACCAAAAGAAAACTTTATGTATGTGACAAAAGGAGATAAATTTTGTTTAGGTACAGCATTGTGCGAAATTACTAGTTTAAAATAATGTACTGCATGAACAGCAAAAAATGGCCTGGTCAGGAAGGGGTGTAAATACTCAGGAGGGCAAGTGGTTAAATCTTCAGGTTATACTGCCACCTACATGGGAACTGAATGCTTCCATCCACAAAAAATGTAGGACAGGCCAAGATGACTCCTCCTACTACAGCATGCAGTGTGTTTTACCAGTGACATGGAAGATTCTTTGATTTTTTTTTTTTTTTTTTTTTAAAGTCTCTTTCTATCTTACTGCTGGAGCTAGGTCTTTCTGATTGCAGCTATCTGGCTGTAATCCTTGTCCTGAATTTCGGAGTACCATGTCAAGACTGCACTGGATGTAGCAAGGATAGCATGGAGGTGTATTTCTTTCCATACAGAGCATTTTCCAGACTCTTTTTTGGTGAAATTTGGCTGCCGAGTGATTTCCAATAGCTGTTGCCATTAAATCAGTGCCTGCTCTGTCTATAAAAACTCATTTAGTGATTAGGTTGGTCAGGCCAGCACCAGGCGCCACCTCATTTGCATAGGTCACTGGGTATCACTATTTCTGTTCCCACTATTTTTTGCCATGGAAAATGTTATACTTGTGGTGCTTTGAACTGCTTGGTGGAGTATTGCTTGCACACGCTCTCTCTCACCATACATAGTTGAGGCACCATTTCTCCCCTGCTGCTCCTGCTTGCACTGTCAACTTACAGCTTCGATCTTCAGTATGTTTCTTCTGGTTGCCTAGAGCAACTAGTCACCTACAGTCATCCCACCCTCACTTGCTACCAGCTTTTGGGGTTTTACAGGTACCCGAAGCCTCTGCTTCTACCCTGGGCCTATACTTTGCATTACCATCATGTGGTTAACACTGGGGACAGTCCTGCTGCTATGGGTGCCCCCAGCTCACCCTCTTCTAATGGCTCTATGGCTGCTTTCAGCACACCTCCTGATCGTTCTGAAATCTGTAGCCTAGAGTCATGTTACCCTTTGTTCTTCTATCCTCAAAATGATCTTTAGTTCCATTAGGTGTGGATGGATCCTCTACTCTTTAAACTGAGGTTTTTACTTTTGCCATGCAAGACTTTATGGCCAAAATCACCCTATTTGCTGACTGTGATTGCAGAGGCCATTAGTGTACTTCTATGCTATCTCCTTCAGATTTTATATCTTGTCCGTGGCCCTAGCAGTCCTTAACTGACGTGCTTACTCTGAAGGGTCACACTCTACTACAATTGTTTACAAATTAAAGGATACCATTTTGGCTGTTATTGGTGCAGTGCTACTCCTTGTTTCTTCTTTATATAGATACATGGCTGAAAAAGGTAAGATAGAGGGAGATAGATAGAACGAAAACAGAGAGAGATAGATTAAGAGAGCATTATTTACAAGTTTGTCATTATAATAACCTTACTTTAATATATTATCAAAAGTTTTATAAATAAAGTAAGACAGTTAAGGCCTTTTCTTTGCACCCATGTTCCAACTGTTCTTCTATGGAGACAAGAAGCATCCTGATAAGATGTTTGCTTCCCTCAAGTGCGTAATTGCCTTTTATCCATTTGGTGTTGATTTTGTGCAGAAGTGTTCCATTCCCACTGTGAACCCAGCAGTGTTCCACTCAAACTAGGCACCTACTATTTAGGTAGAAGATTTGCTTTTCTCAAAAGGACCCCACCAACGAGCAGTTCTATTCTTGCTGGCATGCTGACACATTTTTCCCACATTTAATGCTGAATGAGACCTTACTTTGTGAAACTATGTTAGACTGGTCAAAATCAATTTGGTCAAAAAGAAGTCACTGCTGCAGATGATTCCTTGCTTTTTGAATGCATGGAGCAAATACATGTAGGATTACATTTCAGCTGTGATGGTGTGCTAGAAGTCTCTCAAAGTTTGCCAAATCCTCAGACAATCCCCCACTTTCTAGAGTGGGGGGACGTTTTTGTTAACTTTTGTGAATGCTTGGACAGTTTACTTTTCCAGCGCTTCGGTGAGGGATATGGTATCCTAGAGCTTCAAACTAGAGTTTTGCTCCCTGCCACCTCTTTGGTTTTTCACATGCAAGCTTCCTGTGTCACTACAGAGATTAGCAGATCTACATCAAGCCCTCTCAGGTCTTCTGGATCAGGGTGTTCTTGACCCAGTGGTAAAACAGTTTCTGGGTCTTTTCTTAAATCTGTTGACCTTTCCCAAGGAACCTGGGATAGTGGTTCCTTCAGCTGGGGGTGTTCAAGGACCTGTGCTGCAGGTATGGGCACCAAATGTGGACCTCCTGGCCTCCATGTTCAAACAACAAAATGGGCAGGTTTGTATCCAGGTACAGGGATCTCCTAGAAGGAGTGGTTTGGTGACTTCATGGAATCAGTACATCCTCATCTTTCCTCTCTTGTAACTTTCCCTCACTAGCTTTGCAAGGTCAAGATGGAGGGGATTCCAATGATCCATACTACTCTGGACTGGCCAAGGTCAATGTAGTATACCAACCTGGTAAGACTCATAGCAGATGCTCCCTAGGCACTGCCAGATAATCAAAATCTTCTGTCCCAATGACTGATTTTTCCATCCTACTTTTCTGTCATTGGCTTTAATGACACAGATGTTGGAAACCAGCCATAGTTACCGCAAGGTCCATAATCAGACATGGTGTGACTCTAGGGGCCTCCACCCCAGGAATTTCTTAGTGGGATAAATCCTATCCTTGCTGTCAAGAGTCAGGTTTCTGTCCCTTCTATCATGTTTCAGAGACCATCAACCTCTCACTGCTTGATTAGGGCCTTTGTGCAAGGGTTCTCCTATGTAGATTCCTTGTCCATTCCTCTGTGACACCTTGCACTTCAACCTGTTCTTTCATCCTTCTGTCTGGTTCCAGTTCATCAAAAGGACATTTCTATCCTTTATCTGAAAGTTGCTTAGGCTGTAAGAGTCTATATCTTAGCTACTGCTTCTTTCTGAAAAACATTTCCTTTTAGTCACCTAAGTGGCTCAAGCAAACCTTATGGTCTCAAGGATCGGGTTCCACCCATTCCTGTGAAGGCACCCTATACTAGATTTGTGAATACTTCATGTGTTATTCGGCATCAAGATTTGCAAGGTGCCAGTTGGTGCTCTGTTAACATGTTCTCTACGTTCTACCAGGTTGATGTTTTCACGTCATCTGATGCCAGTTTTAGGCATAAGGCCCTTCAAATGGCTCTTTGAGCTGCTGATATTACCCAATTCTGTTATTTTTTTTATTGAGCCTGCTGATGTTTGTTTGCTGTGTTGCCTACCCCTCAGTTGAACTGCTTTATTTATTCACCTACATTAACATCAGTCCCTGACCTCAAATAACTTACAATCTCAAGTCCCTACTTCACATGCACACATATACTAGGGCCAATTAGGGCCGGAGAAAATGAAGGTACAAGCATATCTTTTGAGTGTGGGGGGGAAACCTATGCAAACACAGGGAGAACATTTAAACTCTTCGCAGATAGTCTCTTGGCTGAGATTTAAACTAGGTACCCCGGTGCTACAAAGCAAAAGTGCTAACTACTATGCCACTGTGCAAGCTACTGTGATGTCCTAAAGATTTAAGACTTCCTGTGTCTCTCAATGGGCAAGAAGAAAATAGGAATGTTATACTCACATTAAAATCTTTTTTCTTGGAGTCCTTTGATGGACACAGCTCCCTCCCTTCTGTGTTTATGATCATGCCCTTGGAACTGCTTTGCTAAAAAAAAAAAATGAGGCATATGATAATAGGAGGGGTTATCTTGGGCTGGCCTACAGTTTTTCTTTGTGTGCTAGTGTCTGATCCCATTGTATGTAGCAGTATAACCAGAATGTTTGAACAGGTTGTAAATGTTTTTATTATACTTCACACCAATTGGTTAAAAAAAAATAATGCAAAGAAAAAGCTTCTATAGATTAAAAAATGTATAAATATCTGTTTTAGCTGTATCATTGGCTTAGAGGGGCAGAGGTGGAGACTCTTTGTGATGATCAGCCAATCTACCAATGTCATATATATATATATAATTGTTGTCACTCAATGCAGGGTTGGGGGCATAGCAGCAGCAATCCAATCAGAGTACATGAATTCCATGCCTGTATAGAAGGCAAATACTCCACAGGCTTCTACACATTGGTCCTTCTTTGTGACAAGCTGGTCGGGTGGAGGGGGTGTGGAAGCAGAAGTCTGACTACAGGAGCACAGGCATATCAGGTGTATGTGTACAATGATGGATGTGTTTGCATACCTGGCATGTTTGGAGTAGTCAATACAAAGAGAACTGGGTATGTTTTAATAATATTACATGATAACACTGACACATATCTAGAATATTACATTTTGGGATTACGCTTTAAGACTGTGTCCCTCAGTGGGCTTCAAGAAAATGATTTTAAAAAGGCATGTATAAAATGTATATCTTCCTGTGTTTAATTTTTCTTTTTTTTTTTTTCAAATGATAAAATATCTTTTTAGGCTCACTCAGTTCCCATATGCATCTATACTGTTTGCCTTTTTACTGATAGTTTAGTATAGCCTAGAGCGTAGGAAGTAGTGCAGTAGGCTGATTTTTCATTCGGAACCTCAGAGCAACAGTGTCACATCAGGTTCTTTCTAACCTAATCTCCGTATGCCAAGTGCACAGAGCCTAATGCCATGCAGGATGGAGCTTAGAAGTGCAGAAAGTGATATTCAATTGCTATATAAAGGAAGGCAAATCACCCTTCCAAATTGCTTTTAAACCCTCAGAATAAAAATTTAGCGGCAGTTTCCTTCTTTTCCTGTACAGTCTACAACATGTATAAAATTATTTTTTATTTAATTTCTATATTAAACTTTATTTTATTTCTCTTTTTTTTTTTTTTAGACTCTTTTGGCCAAGGGGCCATGGAGAAGCTGCTATGCCTGCTGGTGATGGGAGCTCTGGGGTACTTTGGGAGAGCACAACATTGCCCTGGCCGCTGCATCTGCCAGACTAACTCTCCAACCCTCACAATGCTGTGTGCCAAGACAGGACTTCTATTTGTTCCACCAGCCATTGACCGTCGAACAGTGGAGCTACGACTGACGGACAATTTTATCACCATCATCCGGCGCAAAGACTTTGTCAACATGACCAACTTGGTGCACTTGACACTCTCACGGAATACTATTAGCCAGATTGTACCCCTAGCATTCTCTGACTTGCGTTCTTTGAGAGCCTTGCACATGAACAGTAACCGGATTTCAGCTTTGAGACCGGAACACTTCCGTGGTTTGGGCAACTTGCGCCATCTGATTTTGGGCAACAATCAGATTAATACAATCCAGAATGGAGCTTTCCATGAGTTCCTTCCCACTGTGGAAGACCTTGACTTATCTTATAACAACTTAATAGAGCTGCCCCTGGGAAGACATTGGACAAATGGTCAACCTGAATACATTAACTCTGGATCACAACCTCATAGATTACATTGCTGAAGGGACATTTACTATGTTGCTTAAGCTAGTAAGATTGGACATGACCTCTAATCGGCTGCACAAACTGCCTCCAGACAACCTATTCCTCAGGTCTCAAGTGTTGGCCAGTACAAGAGGCTCCAGTTCCTCCTTGGCAATTAGTTTTGGTGGAAACCCCTTACACTGTAACTGTGAACTCTTATGGCTGAGACGACTGACAAGAGAGGATGACTTGGAGACTTGTGCTTCTCCAGAACAGCTAACAGACAAGTATTTCTGGTCAATTCAAGAGGAAGAGTTTATCTGTGAACCTCCTCTTATTACTCGACACTATGCCAGCAAAACATTTGTCATGGAAGGACAGTCTGTAAACCTCAAGTGCAAAGCAGTAGGAGATCCTGAACCTTCTGTCCACTGGATTGGGCCAGATGGAAAGCTCATCCACAATACATCAAGGATAGTGGCTCATGACAATGGAACCTTGGATATTTTCATAACAACACTAAAGGACAGTGGTTCTTTCACCTGTATAGCATCCAATGCAGCTGGGGAGGCCACTGCTCCAGTTGAAGTGGCAATAGTACCACTTCCATTGTTAGTTAATAACACAGCTCACATAAAAGAACCTGACCCTGGCTCCTCTGATATCACAACCTCCACCAAATCAGGCTTCAATGACACAAAAAGCCTACAGGACAGGAGAATAGTGGTGGACAAGTTGAAGTCCACTTCAGTTGTCATTCAGTGGCCATCGGAGCGCCATATTCCTGGGATTCGCATGTATCAGATTCAGTACAACAGTTCTTTAGATGACTCTCTGGTGTACAGGTAAGATGTCATGATTGTGGGGCAAATCTGCATATACAGACCATTAAAACCATTTGCAGTATATAGTGGATGCCATCAAATTGAAACATCTAAGAACTTCTATTATCTGGAACTCCTTTGGTCAGATTCCCTCCCTTGGATTTTCTATCCATCTTCTTCTCAGTATACTTATGCTGCACTCTGATCAAGCAAGAAACTCATTTTTTAGCTTGGTTTCTTCCTCTTTTTGGGAATTCAGCAAAAGTAGTGTGACTAACTAAGAATGTTACAGTCAAGTGGAATAAGGAATTTCAGCAAGATATATTGCCCCATACGATAATTGCAGGTGGGCTTAGCTGTTAGGAAGCTCAGATTTATGAGTAGGAAAATAATGTAAAGGAGTACTGCATGAAGTCACACATATTATGAACTCGCAGCTAAAGTATACATAGATTACTCTTTAACTAGAACCTCTCCATATTGCAATTCACAGGAACTATTTCCCTTTCTCACATTGTCTCATCTGCCACTAGCTATATGTAGTCAAAAACAATAGACAGATGATTGTTACCCAATCCTGAGTCTTTTGAAAACAAAAGAAAGTTGTTTATGAAATGTCAGTTACCTTGATTGTACCTTCCCAGTGATGATGGTTGTCCCCCCCATAAAAGGCATGTGCCAGGGGTATCTCAAGTATGCATATAAAACACACACACCGGGGCTCTATATGTCTCAATGATGCTCTTTGCACAATCTCATGACTATATAATACAGTCAGGGGAACTTATCAAAACTGGAGCAGCCAGACTCTGTAGCAGTTGTGCATGGCAACATCAGCTTTTATATTTCATTTTCAAAGCTTAACTGAACAAGTCGAAGATAGAAGCTTATTGGTTGCCATGGACAACTGCTCCAGATTCTGTTTGCTACAATTTTGAAAAATTCCCCCCACATTTTCTTCAAATCAGATACACCTCAGCATACTCTTCCATGTTAGTCACATTCAACTGGAGTTGTTCTGTAACTTTGGAAATATTTTGAAGCTTGTCCAAGCCACCTCTTCAGTTCTAATGAGGGTCAAGAAAATACCCCAGCATTTATATCCAAACATGTCAAACACCTTGACCTAATTACCATGAAAAGACAGATGTTATTGACTGATAATGAGATGGGAGGTGTGAATAATTTGGAACACTGAGCTAGTTACATAATCGCATCCTTGGAATCCAGAAGGCTTCGTGTTAACCCTTTGATTTACATGGCTGTCAAAATGCTGATGTTAAAAACGGCATTATATGTGAAAGACAGTTGGGGGTTTATTTACTAAAGCTGGAGAGTGCAAAATCAGACTCACTTCTGCATAGAAACCAATCAGCTTCCAGGTTTCATTGCCAAAGCTTCATTGAACAAGCTGAGGTTAGAAGCTGATTGGTTTCTATGCAGAAGGGAGTCTGATTTTGGACTCTCCAGCTTTAGTAAATAAACCCCTTGGTGTCAAAAGCCCCCAACCCTGTTCAGTGATGGCTCTCCAGCCACCTCACTGTCCTCAATAGAATTTCACATTTCCTTTTTCGTAAGAAAAAAACAATCACCTTTAGGTGATCAATGTGCATTTCAGGGATTTTAACACATTTTGCTACTATGCTCTGTATAAAATGCTTTTTGGATATTGATTCTGAAAAGGAGGGATCGGTTTATTATAATCATCTGGTGAACTCCTTGTGCTCTGATAACAAAAGCTACAGTGTCTGCATCCCTGTAAAAGTATTTACCTTTGTAGAGAATCTCACCAAAATTAAAATTTCTATTGCAGGGGATGCCTAAAATCTGACTTGTATCTTAGTGCATACTTCTGAGAAAATCAGTGAGTTAATTGCACAAGAAGGAATGACAATAGCCATATTGCATTGAATTTTACAGAAAATTAAAGTGACTGCAGGTAGAAAAGGAAAGGTCATTGTTAACATTAAATTACAATATGGCTTGTTTAACAACTGTATATGCTGCATTAGGTTTTTATTTGTTTTTTCATGAAAGCAGAGTTACCCTTTAAGGTGCAGGGCCATTTGTTTTTTGAGAGCTTGCCTTGTCTCCCCAGTTTACAGATCTTTAAATGCTTCACTACACTGCATTTCATATATCAAGTTATTTCACTTGTGTGTTTGTTGTTGTTGTTGTTGGGTCTTTTGGATGTACAGATTTCTGTTTCAGTATATTATGTTTGAAAAACGCCATGGGGTTGATTTACTAAAATTGGAGCGTGAAAAATGTAGTGCAGCTCTGCAAGGTAGCCAATCAGCTTCTAACTTCAGCTTGTTCAAATAAGCTTTGGAAAAAAAAAAAACTGGAAGCTGATTGTTTTGTTTTGCAGAGCTGTACCAGATTTTGGGCTCCCAAGTATTAGTAGATCAATCCTGTGTGTTCTGCTTCTCCCCTATGGTCTGTGTTTTTGCTTGACCTTGGGGATGTTTTAATAAAAAAGCGCGGTCTGGGTAGCCAGAAACTTTCAAAGTACTGAGATCTTTGTGGGGTTTTTTTGTCTATAGACTCACAGCCATGCTCTAATAACCTCCAGTTTGTGCTCCAGTGTGTGGTGGAAGTTAAAAAGTAGATTCTGGTCTTGATGTTTTTGCCCACAGAATATACAGTGGGGCAAAAAAGTATTTAGTCAGCCACCAATTGTGCAAGTTCTCCCACTTAAAAAGATGAGAGAGGCCTGTAATTGGCATCATAGGTAGACCTCAACTATGAGAGACAAAATGAGAAAAAAAATCCAGACAATCACATTGGCTGATTTGGAAAGAATTTATTTGCAAATGATGGTGCAAAATACGTATTTGGTCAATATCAACAGTTCATCTCAATACTTAGTTATATATCCTTTGTTGGCAATGACAGAGGTCAAACGTTTCCTGTAAGTCTTCACAAGGTTGGCACACACTGTTGCTGGTATGTTGGCCCATTCCTCCATGCAGATCTCCTCTAGAGCAGTGATGTTTTGGGGCTGCCTCTGGGCAACACGGACTTTCAACTCCCTCCAAAGGTTTTCTATGGGGTTGAGATCTGGAGACTGGCTAGGCCACTCCAGGACCTTGAAATTCTGTCCTGTACATGGATCAGTCGTCCTGGTCCCTTTGCGGAGAAAACAGCCCCAAAGCATGATGTAGCCACCCCCCATGCTTCACACAGGTATGGTGTTCTTTGGATGCAACTCAGCATTCTCTCTCCTCCAAACACGACGAGTTGTGTTTCTACCAAACAGTTCTATTTTGGTTCCATCTGACCATATGACATTCTCCCAATCCTCTTCTGGATCATCCAAATGCTCTCTAGCAAACTTCAGACAGGCCCGGACATGTACTGGCTTAAGCAGGGGGACACGTCTGTCACTGCAGGATCTGAGTCCCTGGCGGTGTAGTGTGTTACTGATGGTAGCCTTTGTTACGTTGGTCCCAGCTCTCTGCAGGTCATTCACTAGGTCCCCCCGTGTGGTCCTGGGATTTTTGCTCACCGTTCTTGTGATCATTTTGACCCCACAGGGTGGGGTCATTCCACCATATTAAACCATCATTTGCAAATAAATTCTTTCCAAATCTGCCAATGTGATTGTATGGATTTTGTTTTCTCATTTTGTCTCTCATAGTTGAGGTCTACCTATGATGCCAATTACAGGCCTCTCTCATCTTTGTAAGTGGGAGAACTTGCACAATTGGTGGCTGACTAAATACTTTTTTGCCCCACTGTATGTATTCACTAAAAGCTTGTATTTCCACATAACTCAACCAATCACTCTGTTATTCCACTAAAAAAATTCAAGGCTCTCTTCTCCACATCTACTATGTACAGGTTAGCTATTGGTCATGCAGGTGATCCCGTAAGCACAGCCATGTTCCCATCTGTAGAAGTTGTCTTTGTACCTGAAATAGGTGGTGTTAAGGCAAATGTCCAGCAGAGAGAGACAAACTGTAAATCAAAACATTTATGAACTTTTATCAATACCAAGGGTGAGATTATAGTACTAGTACCCCCACATTTTTCACACCTCCTATCCTATGCTTAGACAATAACATCTGCTTTCCTATGGTAAATGGATGAAGGTGTTGCTGATATCTGTTTTGATATACTGTAAATGCTGGGGTGTTTTCTATACACTCAGAACTTAAGTGGCCTGGACAAGCTACGAAACATCTTTAGCATTACAGAACACATCCAGTTTAATGTGACTAACTACTACTAGCTATACCATGGCCTAAATAAATTAGAACCTTTATGGACATATCCTTTCAATAAAATATCTACTGTATGGGGATTGGTGATCTGTTACTTGTGATACCTGGAAGATGGCAAAGAGAAACCTGAAAACCTGGCTTGGTTGGGGTACTTGATGACTGAAGTTGAGAAGCACACACCTATTGTCCTTATACTGTAAATATGTTGCAGGACACTACTTGCAAGAGTTTATATTCACCTGTCCTGTCTCCTATTCCTCTGATATTTCATCAGTCTCTTCACACTGTGACACAATTTTGGGCATGTCAGATGCCTGGCCCCCCTGCTGCAAGCCCTGGTTCCTTTGGCCTGTACCTACATGACTACAGGAAACAGCAGTGAAGGTAAAGGTCAGCTATAGGAACCATAGTGTGCAGCAGGATACACAAGCATGTGAGACCCTTGGAAGTGTCAAATGTAAAGATTCCTGAGGTGGCTGTAGCAAGCAGAGCAAGAATCAAGTGAATGGGCAGTGGGACCCATGAGCATCAATTCCCTTCTCTTGCAGGTAGTGCTTTGCAACATTTTTTAAAGCAGCAACAAAGTTGTCTTGAACTGTTGTTATGTGGACACATTGTCCATGATTTGTGTGAACAATCTTATTTATGCAAAATTGATTGTCTGTTAAGACTTCCAATAGTTGCTACATTGTTCTCCTTGAAGAACAGCACCTAGATTTGGTGCTAAGTAAAAGGCATGAGTCGCTACCCAATTACACATCTACTGATTTACTTTATTTGACATCCATCATT